GAGAGCTTGCTTTTTGCCGCTTCGAGTGACATAAGCATTCCTTGCTTCCAAGCGACCCTCTTCCGTCTAAGCCGTCTAATCGACTTTTCTATGTGATCAAATAGCTTATTGTAGACCTTAAAGACCCGGTGGATAGTGACGTCCTTCGACTTTGAAAGAAGAGTTGTGAATCGGTGAAAAGGCTGAAGGATGCAGATAAGATAGTCCACTTGTCGCCACTGCTCCTGACTTAGGGCAAAATGTTCTTGGTCGTACTGTGTACAGAAAGCATCGAAGGTTTGCTGGAGTTTCTTTGCGCGGACAAGCATTAAGAACGTGGAGTTCCATCGAGTAGCAACATCCTGAATTGGCACGAGCTTTGGCTCCTTAGTTTGTAAGTTGTAGAATGACTCTCGGCGCTGCGGACTCGCGTTGATATAGATCGCAATGGCTTCGAACCTAAGAGACAGATTAGGATAATGAATGGTAGAAAAGTTACGATATCTCACCTTATTTAGAGTGTCCACGATCTCGCGTTTCTGCTGTCTTGCACGAAGACTATCCACCCGGTCATCAGACCATGCCTGTTCAGCTACATCATTCTTTGGAGCAGCGTTCATCTTCCCAAGGAGGTCTTTAAGGCTTAACTGGATCACATGGGCAATACACGGTATCCGAATAATAACGACATCGTTGGCGGATTGTAGTGACTCAATCGCGTCGTGGACACTTGCCATAAGGGTAACGTTATTTGAAGCGTTGTCGGTGGTTACCGTAAGCACTCTATCTGTGATCTGATACTCCTGTAGCAGCTTGAAGAGCACTTCACTCAGATTTGCACCTGAATGAGATCCATGTAAGTGTTCGAATCTGAGTAGTATCTCATTGTACTCCCAGTCTTCGTCAAGAAAGTATCCCGTAATCGCTATAAATGCCTGCTTAAATGGCGATGTCCAGCAATCTAGAGCAAGTGATAGCTTCGCACCAGAAGGGAGTCTCTGAAGGATACTCTTTTGGTTCTCACGGACTAGGTCTCGAAGCTGCCGGCGCATAACCTTAGCAGAAGGAATTTCCGGCATTGACGGTGCAAGCCGGGCGTAGGAGATAAGATCACGGAACTCGGTGTGCTCGAGAAACAGAAAGGGGAGATGCGATACAGCAAGAAGCTTAGCAAGCTTCTGCTGCCAAACTCGCTCATCGAATCTTCGTACCGTCGCATTCTGCGCCTAAACGTCGAGGTCAGATTTAGGATCGTCACGGTTAGAGTTAGGTCTTATCTATACCGCATGCTCTAATGCAAGCTTGATATTTGGTTTCTTCCCTGCAGCTGAGGCAGCTTTTCGGCAATTTACCCCATTATAGTGCTTATTCATTGAGGTCGTCCCTGAATGAGCCCAGCCAGGGTGATCAAGCACCTTCCGACATTGATGGCACATAACCCCAGGCTTTCCATCTTTTTCAAACGCGACTTGGTCAAAGTTTTTCCAGCACTGGGCAGCTCGTTTTGTATCCCAAGATATCTGTTTCTTTTGGCCAAAATCGGTATGAAGCCACCACTGCACGAATTCGCTACCCATTTCCGGTGAGTATAAGATGTACGATCTGATCCGATCGGGGCAAATCCGTGGAAGACAATCAGGTGCCGCTCGACGTAGAGACGAGGGAAGGGAGGTAGTTTGACTTCCAGATGGGATAGAGGAGTAAAGCTGATTTGAACTATCATTAGCAATATATTCAAGAAAATCCGAGGGAGGACCCCCATAAGCAGATGAAAAGTTATCAGAGAACTGGGACATTATGAAGATGGTTAGGAGAAGAAAAGTCTTACCTCGATCTCTTGTGCTATTCAGTAAAGAACTCAGGGGTAGTTGAGTCTTGTAGACAAGGGTCTACTTCGCAAACAAAGGAGAAAAGGTGATATATCATATTTGATACTACCGATACTAATTGGCTAGAACAAGGATTATGAGGGTCACCCTGAGGGTTATGAGGGTCACTTTGAGGGTCGTGAGGGTCACCCTGAGGGTCGTGAGGGTCGCCCTTAGGACCCTAGAACTCTGGAGTCACATAATTGAACTTAAATCGACATATTCTGCTTAATTTTAGCGTAGCATAAGTGTTTAGAGAGTGAATACAATATATCAAATACAATGAAGTCAGGATTTCCAGTGGTTTTAGGTTATATCCAGAAAAATGTTAGCCGTCTCTGGATTGCGGTGCGACTACGTTCTGCACTCAAAATACATCCCCTACCAAAAGTTCCTTCCCACTCCACTTTTTCGGGTCCTCATGTAAAATATATATATCACTTACACTGTATATAGCACCACCATTTTATGGTCTATAATATTACAATTAAATTTCAGGGTTGCTTAATAATAGCACAATAAAATTTTCGCTTAATATTTTGTATAATACCCCTTAGCCTTCCGTACTGCCTTCAAACGTCTTCCCATGCTCAATATTAGCGCATCTATCTTTACCTGATCTAATGCCTTCCAAGCTTCCACTAGGCATTTTTTAAAATAATGCCAGTCTACCTCCGACCTTCCCATGCCAATAAGCTCCGGAAATAATGCAAAAAGCTTCACTTTTAACCAGCGCCATACCGGTTCAATTGGGTTCAAATCAGGTGAGTGCGCGGGCCAATCCTCGACGTATCCTCCGTGAGTTTCAAACCACTCTTTCGTGTCCTTCGCTAGATGAATCCTCGCGTTATCTTGCTGAAATACTAAATCAGGGGTGTAAATTGGTATCAGACCTTTTTCGAGCGTCGAAATATACGACTTCGCAGTATAACCCCTCCCCGACCGCGAGTCCTCGTCTCTTTCCATAATAATTAGGTCTGTTCGACCTCCTAGCCAGATTCCGGCCCAAACCATTTGTGAAATATCTTTTACGTGAGCTTTAGCATTCACGAGATCTTTTCGAAGGCCCTCGGAGGTCGTACGAAAGCACCATTGTGGTCCAAAGTTCGAGGTTCGTTGCACCGAACACTCGTCCGAGAAGATCCACGATTGGAAGCTCTCGCGTCGCCATTTTCGCGCAAATTTTAGCCTCTTCCTTGCAAGAGGAGGCTTTATTGGTATTTTCTGTTTCGATCGCCGTTTTCCGAGTCCGAATCGCCTTAAAATTCGACGTATAGTGGAGGGTGACGGATGCTGAGCTGTAGCAGCACTTAGCTGTTTATAGGTCCAAAACGGATGCCTACGTGCTTGTAAATAGAGGTGAGAGCAAGCGCGCTCACTAATAATTACGGGACGGCCGCTTTTTTCACGATTTTCGAGGGTGTTGTCTTCTAAATAGCGTTTCAGCGTATTATAGATTGTACCGCCGAGAGCAGCCGAAGTCATTAGCTAATTTCACTTGCGATACACCGCTCTCATGAGCAGATACAATAGCTGACCTTTGTATAGTAGTAAGCTGCGCCGTTTTGCTAATTTTTGCAGCAATTTTCATTGCAATCGGAGCAATAGGGGAGGTGTAGGACGAAAAATAAAATGGTGGGTTGGTTGCCGGGTCAAATTGTAGTGGGACAGTGGGAAAGAACATTTGACTAGTATCTGTATATATTTCCACATCGTGATTTGCCAATCTCTCCAATTCTTTACAATACATACCACAACGGTCTCCCTTAGACCTGAGAATCTGTCAATTGAGTATTACCAAGCAAGAAGACCTGAAGACATATTTCATAAAAATACACAGGGGTCGGATAGAAAAAGATGAATTAAGTGTGTGACAGACGAAACAGGTATAAGAAACAGTAATTTATTGCTATCTGTCAGCAAATTTATCCATCCTAATCAGGGAAGGTGTGAAGAATTTATGCATATGCGGGTCGTGAGGGTAACTTGGCGGGTGACCCTCCAAAGATTTTATGACCCTCAGGTGCGGTGAGGGTCGTCAGCCTACGACCCTCCCCTCCGGAGGGGCGGGTCAAGGGTCGCGAGAAGGGACCTACGGTCCGGGTCATGGCGAGGTCTATGTACGGTTAAACGTGGTATCGGACAGCGTTAAGAATAGACCTTTATACGTCCGAAAGAGCAGCTTTTTTAGCATCACGAAGAAGGACATTAAGTACAAATGGTTCCGACACGTGGGAAGCAAATTAAGCAGATGTTTTAGGCTGCTTTTAGTGGTCTACCGCATCGTTCTAGCCTAATTCCACTATTCGGAGATCCGCAGTCTCGTCGCGGAGGCGTGTCTTTACGTACAATTAAAGAGCTTTATCGGCGTATCCTACCTACGCTGCTTACTAGTATTGATTAAAATGCTATTTTTTAGCAAGATAACGCGCCCGTTCACACTATATATATCGTATAAGACGCTCTTAATAATATTGAATGCGAAATTATGGAGTGACCGCCCTATTCACCTGATTTAAATCCTATTAAGAACCTATGGGCGCTGCTAAAAGCCGAAATATTGAAGCGTCATCCTGAGTTTATGCACCTACCAAATAACGGAGATACGCTAGAATCGCTCCTTAATGCTGCGCAAGAAGCATGGGAAACGCTAGATATCGAGGTCTTTAAGCATCTCTCCGAGACTATGCCACAGAGGGTGGCTGATGTTATTAAGTATGAGGGCTGGCATACTAGCTATTAAATTGAATTGAATTCCTGAGGTTTCTGCCAGGCAGTATGAAAAAGTGGGTCCAGGGGCGAAGTACCGGAGGTCAAATACTTTTGTTACACCACTGTAACTTCCTTGAGGCGTAACACCGTATTATTGTCTGCGGGGGATTGTGAAACCCACCGATCTGGACTAGACGTCCTTGTGGGTCTCCGGGAAAAGAAAACGGGTGTGTCTGGGGGTAAACTGTTTTCGAAATCCTCTGTATCCCGTACAGGTGACGCCACGTTACTCAACGAGGTCAGCCCCATGAACTTCTTAAGTAGTAGTCCAAAAGGCATTATATAATGCTCGCCAGGTCTTTCGCAACGGCTGTCTTCCTCTGTGACCTATACTACATCAGTCTACTTTTAATTCATTTCAGTGGTCTTTCAAATACAGAAATGAGACCTATTTACTTCGTCCCTCTTGGCCTACTGGCTCTCCCAGGATGGTGCAGGCCAGTCTCCGATCTCCATTCTGGGACCGTTGATGTGGTTCCAATCCCTCCCAACTCCCTCGCCCCTAAGGGAGTCGTACCTGGATCATCTACTATGGTCCACCATCTTCCAGGGTATGAAGTATGTCCTGATATTATGAGAAAATATGGAGTGACTCTTATTAGGAGCTCGGATGCGAATAAGCATATTCTTTTACCTCGTGGCTCAAAGAAATTGATAATTCCAGGATCTGGAATCAAATCCTGGCCGATCGGTCCAATGATGATTCAAATTATTGTCTCGTCAGCAACCGACATAGCATTCAAATTTATCAATGGCGAGGACGACGAGTACCGTTTCACCGTGTTTGATGTTTTGGGGAACGCCATCAATGCTATTGATATTGACGGCGGCAGTTGGGGGAAAATTCCCAACACCCGGAAAATGTTTGAGGCAGGAAAGGAGTATACTGTGAGATGGTTCGAGGCTTAGGGTTTGAGACTAGTCTTTCGGTTTCATTCCCTCTAACTAGTGGTATACAGTACTGTACACTGGGTCAAAAAGCTCTCACTAAAATCAAGCAGCAAAGCGACTATTTTTTGAATTGAAATAACTCAACTGGAACGACTCCGTGTGCCCAGAAATAGAATATAAAGTAGTTTCAATTAATACTTAGTATACATGTTTCTTGCTTTTTGACACTTCAGTCCTGCGTGACAGTCTCCAGGGAAATAATATTCAACGAATCAATCGAGCAGGCCACGTGGGAGCCTGTCGGTATAGTGAAGCTGGAAGCGTGAAATGAACGGATAATCGGTACGCGGATAATGGGACAATTTGTGCATTTAAAATCTGTAAAATCCCAGGAAGTACTAGTCAAAGGACTAGTGGCCTCTTCAGTAAACTGGTGATACCCTTCTAGGCTGGAAGCCACCTATCACCAAGAAACATGAACAAACTCGTAACCTGTTTACTGGGCAATAAGGCAAAACAGTTTCTTTTACAGTATGCCACAGAAATTCCATAAGGAGATCCTCACGAAGAAATACGAGCTGATCCGTTAGGGCAGCAAGCTAGTCTTGGAATAATATTTGTATAATGCCGCATGGCTGAAACCCCCAAGATGATCGTTGAAGCTTAGAGCCCCTTTCGCTTAGATTTCAAGCAAACCTCACTCTTTTGGTGAACATTGAGAGCTGTCATACGAGTAAACGAGCTGCCACTGAAGTTGCATGATAGTTTGTCGCTTCTGCTATGTCTTTCACGTTCGTGACGGAGAAGATTGCTGGAAGTTGAAAAGGATCGGCCCTTACTGTCACCCTCCCAGCATACATTGGCAGTCTGACATTTTCCCTTCGATTGCCGAATAAAAGAAATATCTTCAGAGGTCAGCTGGGAACTGATCTCGGTATTGAAACTGATGCTGCCATGACCTCGGGAATTTGAAGGCTGGTGCGAAAAATGGTGTTCAAAATCGTCTCTCTGGCTTTGACACACCATAGTACTGGTTTCTGGTGGGGCGGACATGGGGATATCTGAGGGCCAAGCGCTTGAGATTGGCTGGACGAGAAGGGTTTTATTCCGAAGCCTCACCGAACTTTGAGGCTCGTAGTCAAAAGTACACATCGGTTGCGAATAGTCTGCCGATCCTCCGGTTACCGCGAAGGGTTGATGGAAGTTCGTGGATGAATGACTCCTGTGATACTGTTAGATGGAAACTGTCGGGACATATACTCCAGTCAGAACAAACAAAGACAGGTTGTACGTAATCTTGGTAAGCAACGGCTCCCGCCGTATGGATTCAGGGGTATTGGGCCTTGACCTAGGATGAACATCTATCTACATGAATCAATCAACTTTCGCTTTAGGAGCATGAACACTGTTCATTTAACTGTGTACACGGTACCTAGCTGGTGATACCAACAGTCCTAGACCGTCAAGAATGCCACTCACAGTAAGGCGCTCCCATACAGTTTGATACCCTAATCTCATCCTAGAGATGGCCAACTTTGTACCTGATTCCGCACATTTACGTTGGCAGAGACCAGATCTGCGGATTGCTACCAGGAGATTTTCCCAGGAAGAACTTTTAGATACTGCACCTGATGTTACAAGTACTGGAAGAGCGGTTTCTGTCGCATTGGCGGCGTACGAATGAGTAAGTATTTTGACTTCCAATGGCCATTTGTAAACATGCTGAACAAAGCAGGAAGCATGTTCCTCATGCTGATCTCTCCTCGAAAGTTCCAGTCACCAAAGCCCCTTTTATATATTCTAAGACCGAGGAGCTTGTTTGGAAATGGGAACAGTCAAAGCTCTGCGGTCGGAGTAACAACATCACACTCTCTTCCACCATGATTCCACAAGGTCATCCACCAAACAAAGCTGATAGCCAAGGCAAATTCGTATCCATCGAGAATGGCTTCACTCATGTCTTCCCTCAAGCACAGCTCACGAACCTGGAACCACATGACTATCAGCTTGGAATTCTGGAGACAACGCATTCAGCAAACCTGAAGATTATCCTTCTCGGTGCGAAGCAAGAGAAGCAAACAAAACGTTTCAGCGGAAGCCTCGTTGGCCTCCAGCATTCCCTGTTGCAGAGAGGCTCTCTTTCTTCCAATCGCTGGTCAACTGAATTCTGGGTATCCGACTCGGTCGTTGTTGATTCAAGATCCATTGAAGAGGCTAAATCGGTACTCAAGGCTGTGCGTCCAGAGAGCCCTGGTGAGGCAACGTATGTCTGTGTTGGCCTGCCAGTCACAGTCTTCGGGCCATTATTCAACACGCTGGTTTCGAAATGGAACGCGAGTGCGGCTTCCTTCGAGTACTCCAACGGATTCATCTGGATATATTCCACAGTGGACCCGACAAACTTTAAGATTGACGCGGGTGAATCCTCCAGTCCAGCCAAGCAATCAATTTCTTCTATTCTGAAGCAGATGAACGGTAAATCCTGGTTTGTTAGGGCAAAGCTCATGTTCAGACTCGAAAGGTCGAGTGGGGAGAAAGCGGGTATCCTTGCCGAGCTCCTAGAAGTCTCTCATATACATGTCACCTCTTCTCATAAGCCCACCACTCACTCTTAGGACAGACTTGGATGTTGGAAGGGGTTGGAGGTTGGCAAAACCGCTGCTGTCGTCTATCCTTTGTGTTTCCTTTGTTCCTTTCGAATCAAGTACAGGTTGCCCAATAAGGAAGTAAAGGAGCTTTTCAAATCTTTTGACAGGAGCTATATTTACTGATATCTGTGCGATCTAACAATCACGTTCACATTAGGGCCAGAGAATTGCTTGAAATGGTCTTCAGCCAAACATTCATCGTAACACCTCTAGGAACTTCCAGACCAGGAATCAAATGCCAAGATTTACACTAAGCAAAAGCAAGCCTGATGGGACTGCAATACTACGTAGCCAGAAGGGGTTATAGAGCACGGATTCTGTGGTGATTGGTCCAGCCTTGTCAGATCGGCACTAGATTAGAATCCTATTCGGAATATAGCTCGGAGGCGTGTTTGCTACAACAAGACCGCCTTCCGTAGAAACAACGCTCTTTGCGTCTTCGACGAGTTCGGGTATGATTGCATCAATAGCCAGAATGACTTGGTCCATTGAAAAAGTCCTGGTGTGAAGACCCCACGGGCGGAGGATCACAACGGTTTCCACGGTCGCCGTCGCTGACCACAGCTGCCTCCCTGATCCTCTTGACAATGACACACACTGCCTAGCCGGACAAGCGGCCATGCGACATCTGAAAATGCGTCTCAGCACGTTGACTGACTTCAACAGTTGGAAATACGGGACAATTGAAAAACGCATTATATTGCAGGCACACGATGAGCGCGGAATTGGGCTTCAACGTTGAACATAAACTTCACGAGACGCACCTTTTACGCTGTCCATCGTTTTTTGACGGGGGCTCGATGATGATCATTTTCAATCATCAACCGGTCATCTCAGCCCAAGGAGCCGTAGAAAAGGGCCTTCCCATCTTGCTCACCAGCAGCAATGATCAGCGCATCAACATCCCAAGCTGCTTTCGACCGCTCAAACAAAGCTCTGGTCAGCGTTGTCCAGACAACGTATGGAAAATACGATATAAACCTGCTGATGTCCAGTATTGTCTCGCCTAAAAGCATGTCCCGCCCTGTGTCAAAGTTTGCCGAATGGCTTGCCAGGGCTCCCGTCCAAGACAAGTTTAGTCTTTGTGGGCTCCTCGCTCTTGTATGCTGGATATCTTACAGCCTCGCACGCCGGTTCAGCTATTTGCCTTTGAGGTTGCAACACGCAGTATCTTGGAGACGCTTCTTCCAGGCGCCAACGCCAGGCGTGCTCCAGTGGCTGGATATCCCGTCATACTTGCAAGGGGGAGTACTTGCAGCCCTGGTGATTGCCAACATTATTGCAATCAGTCTTCATGCTCAGACCTGGGCGGATGTGCAGAAGCGAGCCGGATGCTTGGCGGTCACCCACCTTGTTCCCCTCTGCTCCGGGTTTAGCTTCAGCCTTCCGGCCCACGTCTACCGTGTCGAACGGGGCACGTTCCAGTGGGCCCATAGGTGGCTAGGCCGCCTTTGCGTGCTGCATTGCCTTCTTCATGGGTCCGTCTTAGGCTCAGTTGCTCGAAATACAAGCCTTGGAGCTCCCCTCGTCATCCCACTCCTGGTACGTGAGGCGGCTAGAGAACGGCAGCCTTCCCATTTCCCCAAAGGATGTCTGATTAGAAGTGGCTAATATTGAACAGGCCGGATGCAGTTTCGTCTCGATCTTGCCGTGGACGCTCGCTGCGATTCTTCGACGGTGGCCGCAACTTGGCCTCAAGATCCACCATATGCTTGCTTCGATCGCCACTGGCGCCCTTTTCTACCATTTGATCGACCGGGTATCGTCCTACCGCTGGGTTTTACTAGGCGGTATTTGCGCCGGATTTGCCTGGAGCGCGGGGACATGTCTACATACCATGTGGCTCCACAGATCGTGGCGCATCACCTCTCGACGGGCCCTCGCGCGGTCTTCCAACAGGCTCTTATGGCTTGATATTGCGGTACCGGCGGAGTGCGTGGCTCAACCGGGGCAGTATGTACAGCTCTGGATGCCACGCCTTGGAGTAAGGTCCTGCTTGCAGCTTCCCGCATTCTACGTGGCTTCGGTAGGTACAGGGCAAAGCAACCTAGGAGCATCGACAACTCATGTGTTACGCATAGTGTCCCGGCCTGGACAGGGCGTGACCGGAAGGATCGCACAAGCTGCGGATCGTGCGCACTCGACGATTCATTTCCCGGTGTGCGTGCTGGGTCCCTACGGGCACGCACCTCACCTGGGCCAGTATGGGACCGTCGTCTTTGTACTTGAAGATATTGGAATCTTCCGGGTGTTGCCGTTCATACGACATCTCGTTCAAGAAAGCCGAAGCCGGAGGAACGCGGTGCGACGGCTAGAGGTCCTGTGGCAAGTTAGGCTGAAAAATTTCAGTAGGTGTCCTTCCTCTTCTCA